CAAACTAAAACAACCTACTTTTGGGGAAGCAATAAAGGGAATATATATGAGGTATATTCACGGTATTTCATTTAAGGTGATAAGGGAACTGTTAGCTGAATTTTCCCATCATGATTTGAGCAGACCTGACATTTCCATTAAATTTCTCATGGCCCTACTTTACCAAAAGTTCTTTTCATCCAGACAAGAGTAGAATGCAATTTCGACCTCGCCTAGATGTCATCAATACCTCCAGCGGGACTCGAGCCATGACAGTTAACCACTATATCACATTGCCCTGAGTGCTCTTGGGTGACAGGGCAAATTGATATTTCAAAGATGGCCAGGTATTTTCCCAGATCACATTATCTACTTGGGTTGTCGATTGCAGTCTACCCTGGATGAGAATACCTTCTGTGAAAACAAGGTCATGTGCAACTCAATAGAAATGTAAAATCTACTCATATCATTTAGTGAAATTTAACTACCAGTCTCCTTATCACCTATAAAAAACGGGTGAATACGTCTCATGTATATAATATATTCTTAGTCTCAAACAGATTATTATAAAAGCAATAGGTACTAATCTAAATTTTTGATAGGATTTGAGTATGAAAAAATTGAATAAAACACAATTATTTAGTCAGAGAAAGGCAATTTCTATTGTCGACATTTTTAGCAGCTTTAAAATGTGGTCAATCTCTTGGAGAATAAGTAAGGTACCATAATAATCCTCATTTTTCTAGACCAAGTGAAATCGTTTTTATATAAATCTACCTTAGAAGGCTAGTCAACGCTCGACTGGTGTTCTCCAAAACGGCAACTTGGCCCGTCTGTGCTGCAGGCAGCTGGTCATAGGCCGAAGAGACTCCTGAATCCACGATACTCGAGGTGTCTTCCGACGCCAGGCTTCGACTCCGACCAATCAGTCCGGAGGTGATGGCATAAACCACCTGTTTCGCCTGAGTTGATTGCGAAATGGTGGGCAATCGACGAGCTTTGGAAGCTGGCGAGTGACTTGATGCCTCAAAGCGCACAGCCAAAGATGGGGCCAGCTGATGATGCGGCTCTGAAGTCGCCTTCGGTGTAGGATTTGAGGCGAACGGTATTCCGTGACCAGAGTCACGACCTGTGACCGTGTTGTATGGCGGTGGTGGCAGAAGTGAGTCCATGGCGAAGTCGTTCGCCGGGACAGATGGGCTGCATAGGCTACAGCACATCGGACAACAGGTCTCAGGATCATTTGTAACCTCGTTCGAAAGCCGGTTCGTTGGGCCGACAAGCAGAAGCGGCGAGATCACTGGCAGGCCAAGCTTGGATGAACCGGTTCGATACCGGTGCTTGGCAGCCGAACGCGACCGATGTCGTTGTTGGCTCATCAGGCTGTTGACGAGGCGGGCTGTACATGTGTCTTCGATGGCCAGAGCTGAAGTCAAGTCGAGGTGGGAGGAGGTGAGCGCCTGTAAGCTGGTAGAGGCCAAGGAAGACGCTATCATTGGGTGTGACAGATCCAAATCACACAAATCGCCCTCTCTCTCGAGGGATTGTTCAACTTCATCCACTGCTGCCAACTCCGTCTGCTTCTCTGTGTATTCTTCTTCTATCGATGCCTGATCCGGAGAAGTGATACCTGAATGCGCCAGCCTGAATGCATCAGAGGCAGTAGGTCTGGACTGTATGTCAGTAGTCTCTAAATAGACAGAGGTCAGCCGGTTGGCTTGGGAAACATGAGGATGAGTTGAATTGGAGCCCGAGTGTAAGTTAGTTACAACGCCACTGTCTATGGAAGTTAAGGAGCGAGCTTCAGAAAGACTCGGACCAGAGACCGATAGTCTGGGGCGATTGCACTGACCTCGAATGCGATAGGTCTCCACGCGATAATCAAAAGGAGTTGAGCTAGAGCAAGGAGATTGAAGGCCTCGATAACAGTTCGAATTTTGACAAATTACAGAATTCTGACGTGAAGGAAGGTAGGATTGCGTTGATTTGCAGGCCGACCGATCGCAGCAGGCTTAAAGAGGATAATTGGAAGATAACACATCAGGTTGGCGTATGGAAAATCAACTTGTATTAGAATCCTCTATGCTGTTCAGCAAGAGTAAAAGTGAATTCCATAGAAGCGCTGTACCTAGAGGTGGAATGCAGTTTAGAGCTCGTATATGCCTCCTCATCCCTACTGTGGTTTCTACGAACCTTTGGTCTCAAAGACTTTTAACTGTCTCTTACCTGTATGGAAAGTATGATGTCAAGGCGTAAAAAGACTTTTTAAGCTCACACTTCACGAAAACGCGGTATTTAATCACATTGGGCACCTGATAGTTGACAAAATTTAAATAATGATAGCATTTCACAAACGTAACCAAATATAATATTGCCCAGAGATGTGAAAATTATCCTAAATTGGAAATAGGACTTGCTCTAGACTGCTGTCATGATTTGACGAGTTACTTTGCTTGAAAGAAAATATTTTAGCAGGATCCCCCTCACATGAAAGATATCATTGATAAATTATTATGATAAATAAACATCTGATGAGACTGGCCAACTTATCTAGCTATTTCATATTTTCAAGATATGTATATATGACCATCAGTTTCTCTACCATTTTCTGCCTATTGAGTGCAAAATGCATCCTGGCTTTGCTCTGATAGACGATAAACCTATATTTAGACCAAAATATAATCTTTTCTCTCATGTTTTTTTCCTCAAGTCACTCAAGTACCAACAACACAATTCAAAGTTAATAGATGCGAAGAAAAATTGGGTTTCGAGTAATCTCTTGTTTCATAATTGTTGAGCTTACTTCCATTTCGGGTAAAAGTGTTGGGTGAAGAGATTCGATGGTCCATTCCACCAGAAGACGACGGCGGATTCTTCTTGACCAGCTGTCAATTGGTTTTATTGGAAAATTCATGCTGACGTTGTTTCCGAGGCAATTTCCTTCAATTCCGGTGAAAAGGTGCTAAGCTTTCGTCCGTCATATGACGGACATCATCAGAGCGAGATATCATCGTCACAAC